AATAAAATTTGATGTCACGCAATTGTCAACGTACTTACGCATCTTTCATACTTACACGTTTGCGAATCCAAGGCACAATGGTTCCTCTAATACGACATAACTAACTTTCATGCTTCTTAAAGAAGTGTACACAGAGGCAGCATCTTTTCGACTAAAAATCTCATAAATTTTCATAGTTCTGTCTCTACAATATCATAAAATATTTATATATTAAATCCATAAATTCTATCGTATAGCAACATCAATCGGTATTCGCTTCGAACTTTTCTTAACACTAAAAGTACCAAGCGATCATTATTGACCGGTTTCTTTTAATACATATTATATTTTTTGTGATAAAAATAGGATTCTAAAATTTCTTAATTTTTCAATAATTCCTTTATATTGATAAAATAGTTCTTTAACTTTCTCTATTTTTGTAATAATTTATGCATTTAGTTTTTTTAGTGAGTTAAAAAATGTTGGCATTTTTAGTATTAATTTGCAGGTCCAATTTAATTTATGGTAAATTCGATCACTCGCATTATACAGGGTGTCAAGTAACGATTAATTAATATTTCAGGGAGTGAACGAGGATAAAATTTCGAATTAAAAGTTCCTTTGCCAATTTATATTAATTAATCATTGTGGGAAATACCCCGAAACTAAATTAGTATATACTTTAGAGAGACTTTTATATAAAATATCTAAATGCAGTGTGACATAATATAATCAGTTTAGACAATGAAATAATATATATTTGTTAAATAAATAACATGACTATTATTATTGGGTATTTATAATCTTGTAAAATATTTATATGCTTTTATATTTAATTTTTTTTATTTTAAAGATCTGAGGAATAAGAGACTGTAATTTAAAATTATGTAAGATTATGAAAAATGACATTTGACATAAAAAAATTTTTTACAACATAATGTTGAAGAAAATATTCGGAGTCAGTAAATCCGCGAATACCGATTAGAATTGATTTCTAGAGAGATCATACCTCATTTCTTTGCTCTCGTAGTAAGGATTGTTAACGATTGGTCTCCTAGTGGAGAGCATCAAATTCGCCATCAACGACATTTTCCCCGCAAATACAGCGTGTTCCGGTGTATTACTTTTTATCCATTCAAATAATTCTTCTTGTTCGATATTACTGTATTCACCTGTGTGTAAAAATACGTGTAATTGAAATGTAGAAAGTAGTCGATTTAAATACTATAATTACCTATAAATCCGCGTTCCTCTTGAAATCTGTCGACACCGTGATACGACATGCCACCCAGTAAAAGTACAACAATAGCAAGTCGCATGAGTTCACCTTTCAAGCCGATTTTTTCGAGATATCGTTTGCTACACACGGCACCAGCTATTATGCAAAGATGTGGTGTCATAAATAGCTTTAATCTCATAATAAAAACGGCCATGATTATAAAGGCGCCAGTCTGTAGGCCATTATATGCCACATCAGCCTCAATGCAAAATGGATAATTGTTCGTCTTAAAATTTCTATACCAGTAATACAATATAAGCATTCCAACGAGTATCGCTGTCGGCAGTAATAAAGTCTTAATAATCGCATCGTAAGTCTTGTATTGCAGAAAATCGAATTCTGCGGAACACGTGTAAAGCATAGTGTGGAAATCTCTATAATTTGTTAATTTGGACTTTAATATATTAAACACGTGAGCGTCATCTTGGGAATATAGAATGTAGGATTTTATCGATTTTGTGAGGGTTATTGTTATAGCAATTTCAAAAATAATTTCTCGTTTAATGTTCTGAAATCGAGACAATTTCATTATAAAATTGGCCGCATTACTGCTGATTAGAATACACGTGTAGATTGAACAAATTATAAGAGCCCCGTTTGTTATTTTAGTCGACGCTACGATTGCTAAAGCATGCGCCATACAAAAATTTTTGTAAAACTCGTACGGAACGATCCTCAACCATTTTAGTATAAGAATGGCTACAATTTGCGTAGTGAAAACGAAATGAGAAAATTGCCATGTGCACAAGCTACAAATTGTCGAGCCAAATATATCCTGAAAATGTAAAATACAGTTATTACATTACAAAAATAATTTTTGTGTACAAGGTATTTGATTTAACTTGTTCTTATTATTTAACCTATTTTAATGTGAATCTCCTATAAAATTCATTTAAGATATAGTACAATTTCTCAAATAAAAACTATCAACAAAAATAGTATAATAAGATGATAATAAGAATCCAGTGATGATATTATCCACTTATAATATTAAGAGTTCATTTTTGGTTAAAACTTTTAATCATTTTCGAGATCATTTATGTAAAAAATTAAATTTAACACCCTGTATATCTAATAAATAATTTTTTGTTTTATATCTCACCATGAATAATCCTTGCCTGGTTCTGTTCCTTAATGAGGTTGGTACCTTATCCGCATCGTGTTTTGTATATTTTCTGATAGCCATAGTAACACTATACATTTGAAAAAGTAACATAGGATACGCGAAAGTTTCTCGTAACGGCGGCGTCCATTGAACGCGAGTGCATTCGTTATGGTTAAAAAAGAATAATAAAATCGTTATAAATCCACCGTAAATGGAATTACTCAAGTACGTTGCATAATAAAAAAGTACAGCTGCTGTGACTACTGTAGTAAACCAGACTATTTCTAAATAGAAGTATACAGGTATACCCAGGCCTTCACAGCTAGTTATAGGTGGCAGACCATCTCCTCTTTCTATCTGAAAATTATCAACTTGATAAGTATTTTATAAAATTAATATGTTTTACAAAAGAAATTTTTTACAAATCTTACCTGCCAGCATTGTGCCTTATTGTAAGATATAAGACCAAGATTCTTTGTAATATGATAGAGGAAACCTGCTATAATCTGCACGGATAATATAGTGTAAAATCGATTATTATATTCAAAAATGAAAAATTGAGAAGAAGCTTTATCGAGAATAATTACCTCAGGTAAAAGACTATATTTTCTAGTTGCATCAATGACATTATTGTACTCTGATAAATTATCGCGACTGAGCTTGTTCATCCCGTCGAAAAAAGTTTTGGACTCAGCAATGGTCTTATAATAGGAGTAATACATCCCCTAAAAAGAAAACATTTGTAGATATTAGAAATTATAACGTTTAATGCAGCTTGTTTAATACAATTATTTGCGTGAAGTATATTTTATCAATATATTATCTTTAAATTTATATTATATTTACTAATATTTTGCAATTAAACACAAATAATCTGATATTATATATGCTATATTTGGTGCAAGATATTGTTAATATAAGACAAATAGCAAGTGCTTGATAAATTTAAGTTATTAAAAATAATTTTGTTAATATTTTATTTATAGATATAAAGATTTATATTTAAAATATAAACTCTGCTTTTATTAAATTTATTTGTCATATATAAGTATAATAAAATTTCTTTTTGTGTTTTAAAGATATTCTAAAAGAAGGCAAATTGGAGTTAAATATACTGCCAATTTCTATTTAATTGTTAAAATCTTTTAATAATTTTAAATTTTATAAAATGTAATAAAAAATATGCAAAAATTTTTTAGGAATAAAATATTTTTGAATATGAATATCCATGAATGTCGAATAAACATGCTGCGCTAAAGAAATAATCTTACTTTTTCGTTGTTTATTTCATTATTATTCTGTTGAAATCAATATAAAAAAGTATTAAACACCATTTGTTGACAGTATTCGAAATATTCATGAATCTTTTTCTAAAAACGCTTCACCGTCATCCTTCTATTATTTTGTTTTGACGAAGGAATTTTTGGCCATTTCAGGTATGCGAAATTGACGAACTGTTTACTCTACACAACTACAATTCTGACCTGGCACTTTTTTTTCTCCAAGCAAAACACAGCAGATTATTATTCAATATTATGTAGATTATTATTCAATAGAACTGTAGAAGCACAGTAGTCGATTTTCGAATAAATTATTTGATGTGCTTCTAGAATAATAGCTCCATGATATTTTTGATATTTGATATTATTTTATATCAAAGAGATAAAGATATAAAATTGATTAACAAACATTTCTCAAGAAATAATAAATTCGCAATAACGTATTGCTTTGTTATGTATTTGTGAAAATTTTCGGTGCCTACATAGCATACATTGCCTACATTGCTAACATACTTTTGATACGGCATTGCATTCGACAAAACATGCTGTTTGAAGGTAGACAAAGACGCTCCGTTTGATCGATATAAATTTCTATACAATTGATTTACCTAATGTCATGTATGATGATAAAATATTATCACCAATTATCTTACCATTTCAGTTCTGAAGGACATTTCTCGTTCGATCTCCGAAAGATGAGAGAAGTGTCGATCATTTTCGAACAGCGTGGATACATGCCACCGATGGAAACAACCAATACCAAGACCTGCCGTTAGAACAAAAATTATATTAAACTTTGAAACAGTCTCTCGATCGATAGATACGTCGGAAGCTCGATTCTTTCATGCAGGAAAGCGAATATTATTACCCAAAAGATTTATGGTCCACTGATAAAAAGCTGTGCTCTCGTGTGCCGGTTTCTCGGCCACTTTACGTTTCCTGTCACTTTTCGTTGCCATCTTCGACATTATGGGTCACATGACCGCTATCGTGCTCACGAAGAATGGCGCTAAATTTTAAATCCTTTAAAGTAGCTACTCTGTTTTTTTTTACTATAACATAGGGATTTGTAAAAAAAATTTCCTACACAAATTATTTAATATTGTCTCAATTTATACAAAATTATTTATTTATAAATGCTTGATTTTATGAATGAAATTTACTTTGAGACTTCGTAAGATTAATCGTCATTCCACATTTTGACTTTCTGCTTTATTTGTATAAATGCGCACTTAGACTTATAATTAAAATTTTGTTGCTTTTTGTTTAATTATTTCTAATGTGTATCAGTATTTTTGAAAGTAATATTTTTTACGTTCCTGGAAGTGCGCATGTATAGTGAAGCATGGCGTGCATCGGCACTCCCTCCTATTATCGATCAGACGCGTGGTAGCGGTTGGAGCCCGTTGTGTCATGGAGGATCTCCTGCTGCAGATCATAAGGGAGTCGAACAATGCGAGACTACAAAATTTACGAAAATCAGCACAAGAAGCGCATGGTAAGTGCATCATGTTTCTCATTTTTATTTAATTTTTTATTAAATATCTTTTGTGCAAGAGTCGCTTTTATTCGAGGCTTCTTCACTCCGGAAACGTCAAACAGATTTGACATCTGCTTGACACCCACATTCCTCGCATTAAACATTATTGCCTAAATATAAATATTTTCCATTTAATTTGATTATATTTAAATATCTTTATCCAAAGTTAAAAAATTATAAATATTCACTATATTAAAAAAATATTTTTTTTAATTTACGTCAATTTGTTTGAAAAGGTGCCATGATGACGCAGTATGATTGATGTGATGTTGGTCGTCAAACATAAATATTTTTTTTTAATTTACTTGGACTTGTTTTTTTTTTGCATTGAGAGCAATTTTTTCTTCTACAGATTTTCTGGAAAAACAACAAGGCTTGCTACGAGATCCACCCCACGAACTGCGCGCGAAATGCTTACATACGTTTCAGTTAGCACTGGAAAGCAACAGAAGCAAGTTCATTGCTTTCGGACTTGCGGGATTACACGTAAGTAACAAAAATAATCTTTTGTAAAAGAATATTTTTCACGCGAAAAAATAAATTTTCTATGTACGTTAAAAATGCGAATGTGGATTAAAATGTTTACAAAAAAGACACGTTTCGTGTGTTCGACATTTTATCTCTATTATTCCTATTTTTCTTTCCGTGTATGTTGGCTAGCATTAATGTAACTTGTGGACGTACGTCCCGGAACTGTACGCGATAAAACGATAGATACCGAACAACTGCGACAGTTTAAGTCACATCGCTATGGCAGATGATTTTTAATTAGCTTCAATCGGAATACGAAAAGTTTTTTTTACGGCTTTTATAGGAATTCTGTAATAAAGATTTAAATATTTAGATAAATCATAATTATTACAATTAATTACATAGATTCTTATTCAGACATAATTTAATATATAATTTTTGCGTATTCTTATTTCTACATAATATTTATGTAAATCTTGTTTATATGCAATAAAATAAAATAATATTAAATTAATTGTATTAAATTAATTGCATTTTTATTATTAATTATTAACTGCGTTATAAATGTCATGGTTAAATTAACGTATTAAATTAATAAAATTTATAGAAAATGTTAAGAGACGATAGATTCCAATCACCTTATGAACCAGAAGATGATTCGTTATGGTTGCCTGCACAAATGTTGCACGCCATGAGCTCCATCGTCTCGCAATCCGATGACACACAAACGGATATGCTTAAAGTGAGTGTTTCACAATGATTGTAAAAATATTTTAGATCGAATATTAAACGCAAAAACAAAACAAGAAAGTTAATCGAAATTTTAAAATAAATGTAACACGTTTCTTATTTTACTGCTTGCTTTAAAATGATGAATTTAATTGCTGATAATATCTCATCGTAATTTCTCTTCCAGGTCTTGCTGCAAGTTGCTTGCTCTCCTTATTGGACTATGAATGGCCGTTTGATCATCGCTATACTGACTACTTGTTGTGAAGCGTTCGAAAATGGCAATCAAGCTGTGCGTACAGCTGCACAGGCTGCAACCAGTCAAACATTGCGATCGTTCTGCCTTTTTTTAGGTAATATGAAAATTTGAGCGAAAAAAAAACTAAAACGCAACGTCGCTGATGATGTATTTCGCCTTAGTGATGATACCTTCCAGACATAGCACTTCTAGTAACAATAGCTTCCAGACATAGCATTTCCAAACACAGATGTTTGGTCGATAAATTACAAGATCGCGTGCCAGTGGCATGCGGGTCGAAGAATGCCATCGACGAAAACATCCTAATGACTGACTATTACCGTTTATATACTTGCGATTGCATTGTCAGAGTTTCAATATTCACTATTATGCGTTATTATATTTATTTGCAGATGAGGAATGCCAAGAGATGGACGAGAATGCTAAGCGGAATAAAAATGTGCGCGAGCGAGGCGTTTCGTGTTTCAACGAGGCCTTGCCGATTTTGCAGTACATCTGCAGCAAACTGGACGAGGCTCAAAAGTATATAATAATGCACCTTAGAAAATTAGTGAAGTAAAAGTCGTTATGTTTAATACTATAGTAATATTTAGGAAATCCTGTTCCAGCAATGGCAGAAACGGCAGTACTGTAGTCTTCTTATTGGAATGCTTGCACACACTGATATCGTCGTTACCGCAAAAGATTCATACTAACACACACTTTACGACTTTCCTATGGCAGAAGTTTTGTCCGGCCTTGATAGCCTTTCTAGGCACTCCCCGGGTAGATAAGACTTTTACCTCTCGGGAGGGAAAGGAGAACGAAGTTGGCAGAGGTTCTGGATATTTGGCCACATCACTGAGTTTCGATAGTCATCAGGCTAAAACTGTTTATAGGTAAAAGAATAACAAATTCAGAATATATCATCGTCACATTAATATCATAAACGTTAGCTGTGTTAAGCAGAAAAAACAGCTTTGTAACTGTTGTAAAATTCTTTAATATAATCAAAAATATAATATAATATATCTTGCCCTTAGTTATTTACTGGATCTAAATATATATACTTGTATGTAAATTAATCATATTAAGAAAATTAATTATAATTGTAAAACTGCTTTTTTGTTGAATGCCGAGATTTCTTTTATGTAAAGTATTTAATATTTCATAATTTACGTGATATTGTATAAAAAATTGAATATATCATCTTCAGCATTGGCACGGAATTAGTAAGATTAGTCGGATGCGTTGGTCCGTTGCGACCAGTTTTGGAATCGGTATTCCATAGAATGTTGCTGTATCCACCACCGCAGCAGCGTTTAGAACCCTTAAAAGCGTTGAAGGAATTATTACGTAGTCCCAGCCGAATGGTTGATTTTGCTGGACCGTTACTTGTAGAAGAAGATCGATCAAGCCATATACAAAGTGACATGGCATTGATGAGACTGTGAGTATTTCTCGCAACAATCTTTGATGTATAATAAATAAAGCTTAAATAAAATTTTGTTTAATTTACATAATAAAATCTTTTTTTAAATTTTTCTACATTGTATTTTAGAGCTATGGACTCGATAGAAGAGTCAACAACGGGTGGATTGTCTATATTACACGCGAGTGTTTCTTGCGTTGTTGCCATGCTGTCAGCACTTCAAGAACTTTGCGAGGGCAAGGCCATTAATCACAATTATACGTGTACAATTAATAGTTTGTATGAAGATTTAGAATCCTGTGATTATCGTGGACCTTTGACTTATCAAAGCATGGCACGGTTACCAAAAACATACAGGTGAACATAATGATAATAAATCAGTTAGTAAAATAATTATGTTAAATTATTTGAAAAATTTAATTAATGAGAAATACAAGTAATTAATATTAAAATCGCTGATGATTTGACTGCCGATCATTTGATTCCATTAATTATTTTAAATTTTTCTTTTTTATATTAGATAATAATATTAGGTGTTGGAATTAATTCGTAGCGTTTTACAAGTGATGGGAAGTACTTTCATTAATGTATTTTTTAATGCTCATGTGAAATAAATAACATTCTTTCATTAAAAAACGCTACGAATTAATTCCAACACCTAATAGTATATTATACACAATACAGAATATTGTGGAAATATGTGAATATAATACAAAATATAATTTCAATGATATAAATCGGTTCGATTTATTTTTTATGATTAGAGTCAATAATTTCCTGTCAAGTTGAAAAATACTTCTTTCCCTTTTTTAAGAAATTTAATTTTTGGGTTGTATCACTTTTCAAGTAAGGGAACGATATGTATTACAATACATTACAATACATTATGCTAATTTATTTCTCAGGGAACAATTGGAATTAATGAAGAAAGGTATGGGCTCGGATTCTGACTCATCTGGGCATGGACCATCAGAAGATGGTGATTCAACGGATACTGAAGGTCCTCAAAACGAATCGGATGAAGTTCAGGAAGAAAATAGTCTTGACGATAATGATTGCACTGAGAATGAATACGAGAAACTGAGATTGAAAAAATTACCCAAGTGTCTTCATGTGGGCCGACAAGTGGCCGACGAATGCAATGTGGATGTAGAAAGGCACAACGCTAGGCGATTCGTAAGAACGCTTAGATCCGATCTCATACCGATGGTCCTCACTTTGCGAAGTAATATAGAGGTGGATGAGGCATTACAAAATTTTGCTTCCGAATATTGTCAAGGTATACACCAGTTATCGATAAAACTTAAAAAAACAAAATAATGCGCAAAAATTACATTAATATTAAAATAATGATATATATTTTTTTTAAATTTACATATTTGACATATTTTAGGAGTATTTGTAGCTCAACAGAAAATACAGGAACAAACTGACGCTAGTACGGATTCATGTGCGTTAATCACGATCATGAATGCTGACGGAATTTATTTGGCGACGTATGCGGCATTGCTTCTCAATCTGAAATTAATCCAAATAAATTATTATCATGAGGAAAGTCGGCAAGTGCCAATCAGCGAGGTATGTTTAATCGCAAATATTTTAATGCTTTCCGAATTCGTTGCGTTTATTTTCCTTAACGTTATTTTTAAGGAACGATTTGTGGAAGAGGTGCATGGATCTGGCGTGTTAGTTTATCTCTCAGCCACATGGCTCTCCGAATTATATCAACAAGTTCTCGCATGTAATTTGCTCGAGAAGTGTGGTTACAATCCTAGTTCCACGGAGAATAATGCGTTGGTCAATGTTCTCACGGGTATGCAGTATTGCATCAAAATTTTTTTTACAGTAAAATAAATATATTAATAAAATTATATTTTTTGTGAATCCAAATCAATATTTTTTGAAATTGACTTTTTAGTTATTTCAAATTTAACTGATAAAATGTCTTTCACGCAAATTTTATAGACGTGGATGGTATACCCGGTAGTCACAGAGGTGGACAATTGCTCTCTGATTACATAAGACTGGAACGAGCCCAACTTTCTCGAAGCGAACCAACTCCGGAAGCGGAGGCTGGCGCAAAACTCTCCCGAAGGGTGCTAACTTGCTGCTGGGGCAGTATGATGACGGTTCTCACGACGGGACTGAATCCTCCTAAGGAAGAAACCAACAAAGGCATCTTAAATAGAGACGGTGGTCGAAGAGGAGTTAGAGATACGGTTGTTTTGGCGCTTGAAGGTCTTCACAAGGCCGCTACGTTAAGCAACGTACTTGGTACACATACTTTCTTCTTTTTAAATCAGATTTTCAATGCATTTTGATATTTCTTTTTTTATTTTATCTTATCTTCTTATCTATTTCAGGCTTACAGAATCGCTGTGGCTCTATTTTTGCCCTTCTGGCAAAGGCCGCTTGTACGGAACAATCTATTTCGAAAATTACTCGCAAGAAGGACGTTCTTCGACTTAAATTGCAGAATAAAGCGACGAATCTTCATACATCTCACGCGCTCAGTATGGATGTGCTTTTAGGAAGAGGTCTGGAATTAGGCAGTCACGGTAGTGATTGTTGGCCGCACGTTTTCACGTAAGTGACATTCTAAAACATATATAATAACGTGCTTTTTTTTACATATTAAAGAGCATGCATTTGAAAAAAAGGTGCTGCCTATATGTGAGTAAGTTGGAACATGATTTCTTTGGAAGAAACCAAAATCCCTCACTGCCCAAAGCCTCTCAGAAGAAGGAAAAGAAAGATGCTATAAATGGCGATGCTAAGAACGGCCAAGATAAACTTCGACTAAATTTCAACATTGTCGATGATGAGGAATCTTGGTACAATTAATTTTTATATTACAATATTTTAATTAGTTGATATTGTTTTTTTCAAAAAATTTTCTCATATTTTAGCTAAATCAATTTAATGTAAATATTTTACAAAATGCTAAAATTAAATATAATCTTATATCTATATAATTTATTTCTAATTTTTTAATAATTTCTGTTATATAGTGTGGATGTGTATAGTTTCCTTTCGAGTCCTTATACGCAAAATCCCAGTTCGGACACGATTCCGGAGATTATTCAAGAATCAAACGCTGATAGTCAATTTAATGGCATTTTACCAGCGGACTATGCTGCCAAGATTATTTGCGTGCTATCCCAACAAGTCGATAGACTTTTCGAGGATGCGGCACTTAAATTAAATCTCAGATCGCTCTGTTCGTTTCTCATGGCTCTCTGTAAGGCCAGCAAGGCGCAATTGTTCAAGACCACTGATGGCTGTAAAGATAATAAGAGATTTTGGTGGAGACGAAGTAAGCCGAGAGAGAATGAAATGAATGTGCTACTTTTGGCTCGTTTAGGCGAAGTTATGCTGAAGTGTGTAAAGAGTGGCAGACCTTTAATACATATAATGGGGGTAAGAAAATATTTAATGTATTTTTTACTTATGGCACTTTTGGAGTAAAGGAACGATATAACTTATAAGTTGTCACCTTCGTAGTTGCTATCATGTTTTTCTTTTTTAAATATATGAAATAAAATAATTTTTCAGGTATGGACTATTTTGGGACCACACTTCATGGAGGCGGCTTGCCACGAGGATCGTAGCATTTCGAAGAAAGCTGTTCAATGCATTCACGATTCCATGGCGGCCTTGTTAAACGAACAAATAGAACTTCCACATTTCCACTTTAACGAGGCGCTCTTCAAGCCTTTCGAAAATCTCTTATGTCTTGAACTTTGCGACAGCGACGTGCAAGATCAAGTTAGTAACTACTTACAATTTATTTATGTAAATAAAAGCTTATAAATTTAGATCGTTTAGATTATTGAATTATTAATTTTTCAGATTGTCAGCTGCATCTGTGAGTTCGTTGAAACGAATCGTACTGAGATACGTTCAGGTTGGCGTCCGCTTTTCGGCGCTCTCCGAGTGGCGTCAGTGAACAATTCGGATTCAGTGGAATCGGCACCTTTGCTAGAAGTTTTCAGAGTCTTCCTTTCAACGGATAACACGTTGGTCTTTGCTAATGCTGCTTTGGACTGTATATTGTGTCTGCTGAAACACGTGAGAGGTATCGGCGACAACGAAGGTCAATCTGACGAAACCGAGAATTGTATCGACAGCGCAGAATCGAGAAGACTGAGACTCTGCGTAGAAAGTTTGAAGTATTTGCTGAGTTGCAGCGATATTCTGTCATCGATGTATCGAATGCCAGCCTGCCCGATCTTCCATTCCGCTCAGAGGATTCAAGTCTCTACGATTCCGCAATATGTGGATCCGATCATTCCGAATCTCGAGCTAACTAGATTCGACAAGCATATCGAGTCTATGCACGAAATCATCCCAGAAAAATCATACGACGCGCTGACTCCGCTAATCGATAAGGACGCTCATCCTATAGCCACATTGCAGAGCATGGACAAGCCTAGTGGTATCCTGAGGGTTTGGTACATCCTCATCGAAGGCTTGGCGAGTGCGACCATGATCTGTCCAAAACGCTATCAACCGCACACCCTGGAGACTTTGTTCCATCTCTTACGCGACATTCTAAATGTACCCGGGCCAGCGTTTGGACTCTACTGCGTCAATCATCTACTATTACCCATGGTGCAAAATTGGCTAAGAAAAACGTCGAAGATCTATCGCGGATGGGACAATTTTGCGCCCAATTTTAAACAGTGCTGTGGTCTCACGACGGATCTCGTGGTCGATTATTTGACTCACTTGCAAGGTAAGGTTAAATCTACAACTCTACTCTTGCTTTAGACCTTAAGAGGTCATAAGTCGTAAGCTGTAAGTTGTAAATAATGATATATCGGCCACAGAACTTATGCTTTTAGGCCGTAAGAATTGAGTTCGCTCAATTCGTTTAAGTCTAACGGTTAAAGCCTAAAGACTGCGCAAAAACAGTTTAAAAACAGAAATTATTATCACCTAATCTGTTTTGATTTATGATTTAAGATTTCTTAAAGTAAGGTTGTGGACCGAGATTAATGCAAAAAACGTTGATCCAAAAAACGAAGATAAGCAAGAAAGTATGCGAGATGTAAAGATTCGTGTAATATTTTTTTAGGTCCAGAGGTCGTCAGAAACGATGCCTATTTACCTGCCACGACGCTGATGTTGAAGCAACTTTTATTAGTGATGGCGGAATGCGTGGTACAACCTACAGAGAGCATAGCTCGTCTCGGTTGCGCTTGTATCAGGTAAGTCAAAAGCGCGAGGGACACTTCCAGCTCGCGACATAAAATCCAGTTGAAGCGAACCGAAGTAATTTGCTTGCTCGCTCGTTTGTTCTTTATTGCGATTCGCGCAGCTGTACTACTTCATAAATAGCGTTACAATCACACACTACAGAGTTATATAAGAAAGATATTGCGCTTCATTCTGTATTCATTTTATGATCACAGCTTTCCTAATTGAATTACGAAATAACTGGTAACAACAACGTCGTTTCAATCAGCCGTTAAAGAACCACCACTGTCGCCATTACATTCCGGTTTTCTATTGCAATTTCGAACCGTCGTTAATGCCATCGAACATCAAGAGATTTTCTATGCACAGATAATCATCGCGCATTAAGGCACGTAAATATTAATTAACGAAGCTCGAGCGAATCGCATTAAAGAACAAACGTGGGCAAGTAAATTATTTCGGTTTACTTCAGCTGGATTTTAGTTGTATCGGATCTCTATTACGGAATCGTAGACTTGAATCCTTTGAGCAGAAGATCGGACAGGCCGGCATTCGATACATCAACAAGAATATCATTGGAACTCAGCAGATACTTCAAACTTTTTCCATGCAGAGTCTTATTCTTCTCGATTGACCTTTATTGTTGTCGATATCTCTCACGTATTGCATTAGCGAAGACCAACGTATTATCTGTTGAGAGGAAGATTCTGAAAACTTTTAGCAAAGGCGTGCAAAGGCACTGAATTCGAATTGTTAACCGATGCCACTCAAAGAACGCCGAAAAAGATTTCATAATTTCAGTGTTGGTTCTGTCATTCGTTCATCTGTCTGTTTGCGAGATTTTTCAGAAACGACTTAATTTTTTTTAATTCTGCACGGAAAGAATTATTTTGCTGAAAAATCCAAACTTGTGTTGGATACTGATCTGAAAATAATTTTATTATTTGAGATTTTCAACGTATTACTATTAATAAAAAAATCAATAGCAAAGTATATTTATATTTTTACGTAATCGAAATTTTATCGCATTAAATTTTTCATTTTACATCTTTTTACTCAATAAGTTCTATGAATCGATCGTATTTATCGTTTTCAACTCATTTTGTTATTATTTAATTTTGTTAGACCGTCAAAATAATTTTTTTTTGCAACAGTGTTTATTTTTTCCAACAAAATTATTTTCTTGTCTGTTATCCAGCAAAACTTTAGACCTTTCAGCAAAATTGATCTTTTGTGTGTTTTCGGCAATCCTGAGCTCCATCGAAACAAAGTATGAATCAAATCAGCTGATTAATGATTATAAAAGGATAAAAAATAAGGTCAATTGTGACGAATTTTTCCTTAGTTACAGGTTTTTCACTGTATTATTTTACATCTGTTGCAAAAGGTTTATTATGTAAGGCGCCTCCAAACGATATGATCAACGTATGCCAACATGAGCAAGTATCATACACATGTCATACGTAATTATTTATATTGAATGTAGTATATTGAATATTTAACGAATGTGTGCAAAGTTGGCATATACATTGGCTATATCGTCTAGAGATGCTTTTAGCCTATCGATTGGCTCGCGTTGATTTACAGGGTGAATTGGTACATCAACTAAATTTGACGGAATGTATCTCGTGATGGACGTTAAGTTAGGTATATCGCTATTATGGAGCGTGCGTGTAAGACGATAACGAAGCTTGACAAGCTGTCCGGTAGGATAAAGTAGCCACCGACACTCGACACCTTCGGAGCGTCATGTTAACGACTGCACACGCTGCATCCACCTGGAGAGCCATCAGCGCGTTCTCTATATTTTCTCTATATTAACGTGCACGGCAGACATATATACATCCAACTGGATCGAGTCAGTAACATGATCTCGCGAATCGGTGCCGATCGCGAGGTATCGATGTACACATGTTGTGTATGTACGTCGGAATTTAAAAACGGAGCAGGTTCGCGAATGACAAACCGAACGGTATCCTGATCTGAAATCTTAGTGTCATTCAGTGTTGACAACCTACTTCCACAGTATGATCCAGTGGATCGGATGATTCTTGCTGTAGCTATGAAGGAGCTATTTGAGATATCTATTTACTTGAGATATCTACCGCGCAAAAGGCGTTGGCCAACTTTATCGTTGTCCTTGTGAGATTTATTATCAAACAAATGTGATGGCGATGTAGACTGTAAAAGGTGTTAAAATGTTCTTTTAAGGTTGCGAGCTCTTTTAACTGTATACGGAAAGAATGATTGCTGAAATTTCTAAAAATTTAGGTAGACATAGATAAAGATTTTAAAGTTTGAAATCTCTACTTTCGAAAGGTTACTATATTTTTTGAGTTTCTGTGAGTTTGGTAATTTTTACATTTAAAAAACTAAAGAAGATGAAAAATTTTCTTTTCACTTTGGGGATTTCTCACGGAATTTCCAAAAAAAATTTACGAAAATTTTCGACTATCTGATTTTTTGTTTCTGAATTATTCGTGAATTATGTAAAGGATCATTCTAACTTTGATTGCTCATAACTCGGATAAAAATCATCATACAATTTAAAAAACAGATTCTTAAAGCTGAAACTTTGCAATAGCGAATGATATAATTGTAACGAAAACTTCGCAACAAATGAAAAACTCGTGCAAAAAAATTTTTTTAAATACGAAGAAACTTTTTCCCCGACCTAATATTTGAAAATCATGATTAATACAAAGTGGTTTAACGAATCACAAAGAGATTAAATCCGTGTTTGACAGGCATGTCCTGGTGAGCAGCGGACCACTCCTCACTTCGGAACAATGGGAGGTCTGCGGTGTCGCGTGCTACCGCGCCTGTTCAAATTCGTTACAGGAGTTGCACCAGCTGACCATGGCTTTCTCGCCCAGATCAGAATCTTTTTACGGGGACGTCGCCCAAGTGAAGGTCGCGGCGCGCCGCGATGCGACACCGGAAGAAACGGAACGGTTGCGACAACTCGCTGCTCAGGTAAGTAATCCGAGATTTATTTTCGAAAGATGTCATACGCTGGGGAGAATGCCAATAAGAGAGCCTCCGTTGTTTCTAATCATTGTTGTTACTGTCAATGTGCTTTATCGATGTGCTCCTCGTAATCAGAGAGACGGAACATTCGAATATATAAACAATGCTCGAGAAAGTTTATTTCATTTATCATTCACATATCATGATATCAAGATTGTCCTTGGTATATTTCGTCCCATATAGCACATATCATTCTAGCAATATTGCAGCAACATTGCAAACGTTGACAGCAATGTTGCTGCAAATTTTTGTGCTCTATGGGGTGCTAGTATAATTAATTTCGCAAAAAAACATTATATTAAATGGATACAAGTCAAAATGTAGCAATCAGTGTGTAAGTACGGGGTGCGAAAATTATTTGAAATTTATACGAAATTATCAATATTTTTACTACCGACTTTTATCATCTGTTTGATGATTTTTCCTTGTATAGACATCTTGTCACTCGATAGACTTCTAATAGCATATTGTTCATTCTGATGAAGTGCGAGAATGTCCGAGTTTGTGTGAGAAAAGATGAGAGAGAGGGAGAGAAAGATAGAAAAAAAAGAAAGATAAAGATACAGGGACACAGGTGGTTCCCTCCTGACCTGACTTGCTCCCAGGTGAGCCAGCTGCGTGAGGTATTGACTGCCATCAAGAGGCAGAGCGCGGCGTCACTGCCGACGACGCCTTTCCAGGATTTGACGACCATTGAGACGACACTGATCGACCAGCACACTACTTCCTACCCCATCGGTTGTAGGCAGCACACGACACCCCCTGATTACACTAACACTACGACGAACACAGGCCCCCAATGGCTCTAGCCGACCACGGTAACTCACGTCATGGATTTTAAGAACCGATCAAACCCAGAGAAAAAAAAAAATATTATTGTATCGTATCGAGATTCACCATTTCGACCGGCAGAAAAGCGAATAACGTGGATGGATGTCCGACATCCACGCCGAGTGATTCACAGAGTTGTGGAGGCGTGCCTTCACGTCGTCGTCGACAGGCCAAGTTTTAGCCCTCCTATTTGAATCAGGAGCAATTCTAGAAGCTGCTTTCAATCTAAAAAATATTTTTGTATACCGAGCAACATATTTTATTTATGTATACATTGAACACGAGTACTTGATATATATATATATATATACGCTTTATATGACGCAAGCATAAGATATCGACGATCGCTTTTGATGTGTTCCAAGCTTGTTGCTGATATTGGCGACGTGACAGAGTCAAAATGTTTCCTATGTATTTTTGTACGCTGAATGACTGTGGTTAACAAATATAAAGCTTCTATTATCAGTTAATTGACTGTTCACTCACCCTTTACCTTAAACAAAAGGTCGTCAATTTGGAATATGCCTGTCGACGAGGAAACGCCATTCGGTTCGGATCACCCGTTTTTTTTTTAACATTTGCACATGCTGGTAGAAGGCACGGGTTAGACTGCAGAAGCGCTTTAACGAGATCCTTTTCAAAAAATTAAGATATAAATATTGTCATATAAATTGTATATAGATCTATAATATAGAAAAGAGAAAAAAATTAACGATATAATTGCGATTATCCTTTTTAAATTGAATCTTTACTTAAATAGAAATTTCTTATTTTGTTCACATCTGTTATGCTTCGAAAATAATTGCCAATTTTTTCATTTTTTAATAAATTACTAAAAAAATGCCTAAAATATTTTGAGAGAAGCAATATATTGTAGAAGCAATAAATTTGTAAATTTTTGTTTTTTTACTTTAATAAATTTATGAAAAAGGACCTCGTCGCTGATTGAAATCATCATTTCAATTTTACTTGGCACGATCTTACGAATCACTATTAAAATCCATGGCTTGGGTCCATGGCTAGAATTTCACTGTCACAGTAACGTGTAGGTAACGGTACACGACACCGTATTATAGAAGCTGCAGCTTTCGTAGTTTGCACACATTATCTTGCAATTGGAAAAAAATTACGGAGTCGTGTTAGGCTAAGCACATAACCGTTACTTATTATTGTAATTAAGATTATTCTCATCATCATTTATTAATACTAAAAGCGATATCCTTTTCTCAACTCATATTACATGACAATAAAGCTATAATTACAATAATAATTAATGTATTTTCAACTGAAATATTTTTTTGCACAAAACTTTCCAGTGAATTATTAAATTTGATAATGAAAACATAATCTTACTTGCAATTAAAACATTACAAAGACTAAACAATTGCTTCATTGTAGCAAAATATATAGCAAATTTTCACAAAATTCACCAGATTCTCAAAAAAACTGTATCATATCATACATTCAGAATTTTGCTTGAAACAAGTTTAGACTTTATAATTGACACGCTTGTGTCTTTAGGTGTTCCTCCTGGAGGAACAAACACGGGTCGAAGAGGATTCTCGATCACTTGATGAAAAGTCGTACGTGTTCCTTTTGTACCCTCCTGCCGTAGGCGCTACTCTCAATCCCGATCTTTACATCGTTAGAGTTCAATTGCGTGCGTTGGTAGTCGGACTTTTGGTACATCAGATGCTGCTTCATTGCATCGCGAGTGTTCTACTTCAAGGTGCTGGTCCTCCGACTTCAAGGTTCGTATATAACTATTTTTTGCATTCATTAGTAATAAAAAATACTAACATACATTTTATATAATATAATATCGATCACTTATTAATTTAATACGCGAAATTTGTTTAAATTGTCAATAGTTTTATTTACGTTATTCATTACTTATAAAATGTCCAGAATATTTTCACCTTATAAATTTGTTGAATATATGCTATTTATAGGTATAATATTTAGCGTAAACTGTTTTAAAATTTAAAAGATTTGCATTTATCTTTATTAAAGGATTATAGAATGTTATTAATTTTTATTTAATTGTAAATCATTAAAAATAATATTGAAAATTGAGATATAATGTTGGAGTATCAGGAATATCCCACGCGAATAATTAAGATTAACAAAAATCAGGCGAATAATGTAGGATTAATAACTTTGATCGAAATTCTTGATAAATATGTGTGTAGAGTTATGATTATGTAATGATAGGCATTTGAAAGAACATTTTTCCATAGTTTATCTCACGTGATACCGCATTCGACGCCATGCAGTTCGCCTAATCCTAACGTCAAACGAAGTTATTTGTCTCATCTGAATTCGCATCACGTGGAAATTTTCCTTTCTGCTCTGGACATCTCGTACGTCGCCGCACTGAAGTTCGATTGCCGGCCTGGCCTGAAATTCTTGCTGAAAACGGTGGCGAATCTTAAGCAACCAGCTAATTTATATCGTCAAGCGGCAGCTGCTTGGACCATTAAGATTATCACGTTATTCGAGCTATGTTTACGCGAAATAGAAGAGCTTCACGCGACTCTGGAACTGGTGAAGACCATTCTGGGCACAGGACTGGGCGACAGAGAGTGTGTCTATGACATCAAGCATCGAAAGCTCAATAAATATCTGCGCCAACTTCGTACGATTTTCGACGAGCTTTGCGAAACTTATGTTGAAGTGGTTCTTGACGAGGATGGCAGGTACACTAAGGTCGACAGTTTCGCAGAGAGGAACATATTCTTGCTTGTGATGCAGCCCTATCCCGAGATTACTAGGAAAGAGCCTATCGACGATCGATTCGTCATCAGTACTCCATCAGCTTTCGTTGAGTCGTCGGAAAAAGAAGATCCTGGCATCCGTCAAAATCAGCCGGATAATAACGAGGAAGATGATCAGGATGATCCAGACGACGTGTACAATCCAAATTTGGATGACGAGAGCGGCTTAGAGGAACTTGGAGTTGAGAGCGAAAACGATCCGAGACCTTTCAGGTTGTCGGATTTGGCCGCGGAATATTCAACCGATTCTGGTCCACAGTCCGAACCGGAAACCGACGACTCTAGACCGGTGTCCAGATTGGGCTCGGTCACGGAGAAGATTGTTTACCTTGACCGTTCCGGTGGAACTTCCAGCGAGGATTACATTGACGCCAAGTATAATGACTCCGCCATGACTCCGGCGCCCCCGAAAATGATGTATAATCGTGATGATTTCTCTTATAATTTGGATTCGCATTGGAAAACAGAGTCGATTTCCATGGCTGATATGAAAATGCTAAATCGAAATTCGTTTTCCGATGAAGGCTATCTACATCAAAAATCATATTCGGAAAGACGTAGCAGCGACGTGGGTCCATTATCCAGGCGGAAATCCTTGACATTTGTCATGGCGACAGATCTTGAAGACAAAGATGAATCTTTGCAGGCCAATTCTGTGGATCTCCGTCCAAAATCGGTGATGGAGCTGCGCAGGAAACCCGCTTGGCCGATGTCCAGTGATCTTTCTAATAAGACTTACAAACCAGACAAACCAGAAAAGAATATTAAGGAGCAGGATAAAACAAATTCTAAATCTTCTCAGATACTTGACAATATAGATGAATTATTGCGCGACTATGAACGTAGCAAGCGTGGCTTTAGGACAAATCCCTTTTTACGAAACGAAGAAGAGACGTTTACAGTTGAGAGTCAGTCAATCGTTAACCAGGAAGTGCAAATTCAGAGGCGAAACGTCAATAAAGATAGCGAGGCTCATAGGAAAGCTTGGGCAGACATTTTGAGCACTGCGTTGGAATGGGCTTTAGCTTTACCAGTGAGTTTTCTATTCTTCTTTTTATGTACATAATTTTGCAGTATATCGTAAAACAAGTTTTATTCCTTCGATGCCACTCCATATTATATTGTTATTATACTGAATACTGTGAATAATATTGCATAAAAATTAACATATAACAATTTTTTTCAATCAAAATGCTAGATAAGAATTGTATAGTCTATGCAAAAAGTGATTGAAATTGGATATTTATGTTTTTTATGTAAAAATGAATGTTATGTACGTATGAAACAGTTCAAGATCAATATTTATACACATTTAACAATAAAATTTTATATAGTTTAAAAGTGTATAGTTTAAATCTCAAAATTTTCTCATTTTATCTTAATTATTTTTTAAAAACATATACATACATTTCTTATTGAAATAATATTTAATCCAGATCTAAAGTGTAATTAAACTTTTTGTACTACACTTTCAAATACAATATAGAAAAATCTGTAATTATTAATATTATAAATAATTCTTTCATTTTTTTATTAAAAAAAACATTTAATTTTTAAAAAATATAATGGTAATAAGTAAACGTACGTATCTTCTAATAATAATATATAATATAGAAAAAAAAAATTAAAAAATTAAAAAATCTTCGAGTATGCTACATTTAAAGTGGCACCGAAGGGCTAATATTAGACTCAAAATTATAAGAATCTGTTTCAATAAATAATTCAATTTCTCAAATAAGAATTGTTAAATTTATTAATAATCTTTAATTGCTTTAAGGCTGAGTTTTTATATGAATTTTTGGGAATTTTTTTTGCAGGATGAACGATTAGCACCGTTGCTTCCGGTTTTCGTACGCGGCGTGCGAATATTGACCAGGCATGCCGTAGATCAAAATCTGAAACAACGTCTCTCAGCTCTGTTTCACCGTATCGCTGTGCTTTATGGATTGACAAATAATTAATAGCGATTGTCTTTAGATATATACGATCGCGGCCTTAGTTATAAGACTTTTCAAGAGACGAAGAAGGAACGATTTAATATGCTTGACTTACTTTTTCAAGTTCTTTATTATTACTGTGATAGATAGATAAAATTGAAAGGAGATATGTGGGGAAAAGATGTAGAATCTGTCGATATATTTTAGTCGTACTTTTCGATAAAATTAAAATATGCCAATTGACATACATACAAGTAAATTGAATTCGAAAAAAAAAACACGAGGTTTCCGTTATCACGCGAGTCTCTATTTTTTCCGTATATGTCGACACGTCGACACGTCGGAGACAAGGATTTTATTTATGATCCATTCAGCATGCACATTTCTCGATTCTCATTTTATGCTCTTTGCGCTTAACTGTAGTTTGCGGTTCGGTCATAGTGCCGGGTGTATCGGATTTTTGCTTCCAACGTAAAGCTTGAAAAGAGTACGAGCGACAAATGAAAGGTATCTCGCGACGAACGCGATACAGGTGATATCGGCACTCCTCTTTACTTATCAAGATGATCTCTAAGAGCGGAAAATACTATTATTTTTTGCGCGGATTCTTTTGCTGATATAAATAACGAGTATCTTTTTTTATAGAAAAAGAAGTAGAGTAAAGAATTTTGATGTTTGAAAAGGATTATATATATTCCTTATGATATATATTCCTTAATGAGTATTATATTTTATTATATAACGCAATATTGTTGAGGCGTGCGTTTAATTAATATAAAATAGTAACATAACAATATTTTATATTATATATATATATATATATATATATATATATATATATATTAAGTTATATACATAACGTAAGTATAGTTGGTGTTATTTATTTAATTTATTTCCCTCGTTTTGCATTTAACGCCGTAGAGATTATAATTGAATGTTGATGTATATATATATATCAGATATTATGCCCGATGTTTCTCTACGTATGGTGTATTCCATAAATGTTATAAATGTTGTTGAACATCAGATGGTTTAAATGGAAGGATTAATAATTGATAATAAAATGTGCCTATGTATCCTCCGTTTTTCCCCAAAATGCATCTAGATGTACGAAAAGTAGCGCGACTGGAAATAACGAAAAGTCATTATGGATTTCAATACAGCTAAAAGGTGCGTGTCCATGAAAATATATACAGTAAATGGTACGAAACATATATCTCTAATAAGATGTATGAAAGTTAAAATAAATGAATTCTAATATCTGAGTACTATTTTATTACTCTGAGAATACTTACTGGCAATAAGTAACTATTATTGCACGTTTTGTTTAGAAATATAATTTTAATTTTTACTGTAAATAGTTTTAATCTTTTTTAAAAAGCAATACAATTATTATAAAGAGCATTAAACAATATTGAGTGTAAAAGAATTATTAAGACATGAAATATATTACATTATTAAAATTCGAATAAGTAATTATTTAATCGATTCTTACATGTCCTTTGTATTGTTTTTTAAAATTAAGAGTCCTACATTGTTTTATACGTTTTAATCTTTTTTATTGTCAATTGTATTTTACTAAAACTGAATGCATATTAAGTTCTCGAATAATATTTTATCAAGGATTTAAAGACTGTTTCGATCAAGGGTCGCGAGTACTACGCGATTTATTTCCATCGGCCATGCTCGGCTGGTACCAAAGATGTCGACCATTTCCTGCGAGACGAAACGTATTTCAGTTCGTTTTAACGGACGTAGAAAGGGCGGGAGACTCTCGTCTGCGGTCGACTGCGAGTCGAGTCATCCTCGTAAAGAGAGAAGCTTACGAGCGACGGCCGCCTTGGCTTATTCCGTGGTTTTATTCGTGGCGTTCTATTCGTAGGACGCGTCGAGGCTGTAAACAAGAGAAGTGGGGAAGAGTGAAGAGATCTCTTCAAAGTGTGAAGTCATTGAAGTAGGAAGAATTTTTCGTCCGGCTTTCCACCATTATCAATACTTTCGATCGTAATAATATATATTTTGCCTCTCACTTTTGTCTATTGTCAAGAGGAAAAAGAAACAAAAATGTGAAAAATATCAGATATTAAAACACCTTTTTCAGCATTTAACTCTTTAATGATTGCGAAGAAATAGTGGAGCGTTTGCAAAGATTCGTTTCGTAAATTACTTATGACGATTCAATCAATTTTAATGAGAAACTAACGTTTGTTTTTATTTTAGGCACTTTCTGAATACTTTTAGTCTTGTAGTTATTTATAGAAACAAATAATGTGGTTATATATTAAAGAAGAAAACAAGAGGAAATTACTTGTAACTGGGAAGTAGACATTTAGTATTTCCAGTCTCTTATTATACTTTGATTTCAGTTACTTATGAAGATTACTTCGTTGTCGTATATATATTGTCAAACGGCAAAATCCCCAAGACGCTTATTAAGTTCTTAGCCACGTAGTAATTTCATTCCAACGTATTTTTAGACGATATTCTATTATTTTCTATTATTTTCTATCAAATGCGATGGTACATCTTCGTGGCGTGTTGTTTCCGGATTTCTGACTTAAAATTTATGCATTGTAAACCAATAAATTTAAATCCAATAAATTTAAAGAAAATTGTGAAAGATGGGAAAGTTGAGTGAAAAATTAATTATTTAATCTTTTCACGTTTAATTAGAATGTAAATGTGATTTCAGAAGAATTATTCTAATTTAAATGTGATATGACTGTAATTTAGGTGTGCGTGATTTTTTATAAATAAATTATTCGCTACAAAATACGCTATGGGCTAATTTAGGTGAGGCAAGTTTAAAGATTTAGCTGACACGAGGCAGCATGGGGTGACTCGCTAATAAAGGGACGCAAGAACGACGAACCGACGATGTCGCGACCAGCCAGACCGCAACTATCCATCCGTTCGTCATTTCCAACGTGCTTTAAATATTAAATAGAGCTTGCTGCGCTCGTAAAAAGGGTTATCTGTTCCCCCATGACGAAAGAGACAACAGCGTCACTATGGTCCGTTCCCGTGCGAATAAAAAGTTTTCTATCGCATTTATGTGTGAAGATGGAATGATCCGTTCATTACTTCTGAAATTAATCTCGAACTTGTGAAAGAGTTTAAAAAAGTTTATTCACATAGTAGATTCTGTGGATTCTGATATAAGAGGAATTTCTTCAAATGTATTTGGTTATCCTTGATACTCGTGTTGAAACTTTTCCACGTCAAGAGAAAGGATTTAAAAACCTATCGAGCAAATTTATTTCATTTCTGAAAATATGTGTATATTTACAACGTTACAGGGTTTGACTAACTTCTCCGTTCAAGAATCGAATGATGCTTTCGTGATTCGATTCTCAACTCGTTTTAACAATCGAATGAAGATTCCCGCTTTGCGCGCACATGACGATTCTTCAATCATTGATTAGTTTTATTAATTTTATTTAATCAGATTTCGCAGAGACTCGCTAATCTCTAAGAAGTTTTTTTCAGTAAAGTTTACTTCATTTCATCTCATGTTCAACATGAATGAATGAATTTCAAATACATCATGAAACATCGAAAGGCTCTTCATTTTTGTGCGCACAATGACGATTCTTCACTCATTGATTAGTCTCATTAGAAGTCTTTATTGAAATCTCCCATTGCTGGATGATTTTTCATAAATTGAAGAAGTTTTTTTTAGTAAAGTTCATTTCTCACTTTCTCACTTCGCTTCAACGTGAATGAGTCAATAATTTTTACTTTCATATACGCGACGCACTACGAGAAATCATACCGGATATCATTCACATGGGTTCTTACAGATGCGTTAATTCGCGTAACTGCGGATGACCCGAAGAAATATTGCTATTTAATACAGCATTTATCTTACGCACATCTTTCTCCTGGAAAGTACTTGGTACAGATCCTGCTGTCTTTGTTACACTAATTAGAGCACTAATTAGAAATTACATTGCCACACTCGGAAATTTGCGCATTGTAAGTCGCACACACGATATGTCGCATAATTTCAATTTATATTATAACACAGATCTCTTCTTTTTAGTACGGTCTCCATACGTCGTTTCTTTGCTCGCTTTCCTCGCCAAGTACGCCGATTTCTCGAATACTACTGATGGTAAGATTGCCACCGGCTATAGTGACCTGTTCCTCACTCAGATCGCCGTGCAGATGCAAATGAATCTGGTTTTGATTGACGGTGCTGTATAGCTGAGGATAGAGGACCATCGGTGTCGGACCTGTGATGTAATTCTGACTCGGATTGTTGTAGTAGCCTTGATAATTGGGGTTATAATTGTGGGAAGCCACTGGGACCGGGGTCGCCGGACCAGGTGTCCAGGAACTGTAATGGTAACCCGGACTACCTGCACTGCCCGTGCCACTACCGGCAAAAATGTCAGGGTCGCTGGGTCTGGTCGGCACCAAGGGCAAGGACGTGGTCGGCGAGGTGCCATGTCCTGAGTACATGGACACGCAATTCGGCGTGTAGGTATCCTGTTGAGTTTCCGAAGGAAGTACTGCAAGAAAACAATTACAAAGTTTTTACTAAAATTTCGTTGATTATAAAGGATATTTATATATATAACAAACAAATTGCGCAAATAAAAACATTGAATAACTTGTAATGTTGGTAGATTTTTAGATGTTAATTATTATATGGAAAAAACGGTTTTGCTGAAGTATTTGAAATAATTTTGCTGAACTATCGAAAGAATTATGCCTATAAAAATTAAAAATTAGATGAGCAATTGTTGCAAAAAATTTTGATATTCTAACAACCAACTGAAATTTCCAATCAAATTATTTTGATAGTCTGCTACAAAATTAGTTTCAGATTTGTTTTCAGTAAAATTGTAGATCTTTCAGCAAAATCATTCCTTCTTTGTAGTAATTAAAATCTTCCAATAGTTTGGATTCATCTTTTTTGTGCGTATAACTTGCTCTGTTTTATCAAGAATTATTTCTACTTCTGTAAATATAATTGATGATAAGATGATTTAAACTCTGCAGAGTTTCCACATCTAAAAAATCGATTACCTATAATATAGTTTCTAAAATAGATACACCTTCGAGATAGCGAGATAATGTTACGAAACTTTTTCCCGGAACGAGTTATGCGTCAGAATGTATTAAACCGTCGTAGGTATTTCTTAATTAGCAATGCATCGGCGAATCACATTGCTGGATCAGCGACGTAAATGAATTCAAGTTTTTTGATTACTTTATGTATTAATGAATCGTACCGGTTGGCAATGGCACCGGTTCCGTTGTTGGATGATGTGACAATGATTCCCCTGGATATGAAAACGCACCGCCAGGTAAAGGAGAATAGGAACCACTGCTGCTGACTGGAGGAGCCGGATAAGACGGCGCTGTGGATGGATAAGCCCATTCTGTAGTACCGATACCCGTGTCTATAACAGAAAATGTTATTTGATTAATTCATTAATTGATTACTTGATTAATTGATTTTCTATACGAATAAGACCAACGACATAAATAAACGACATAAATTTGCAAAACGATTTATATTTTACCTTCACATTTTAATTCAAAACAAATTTTTAATACAATAAATATGTTTAAAAGAAATCATATATATCTGTACATTAAATTTTAATTTAAATAAATTCCGTATGTAATCCATCAGAAACTAAAGAACTGAGTCGTTTTATGGCAGTGTACTGTAAAACATGCTTCTTAAAATGCGCAGCAAATCGTATGAGTCGGTAACGGAGTTTCGAATGAGTAACATAGGCAGATTAATTGATATGAGTCACAAATCGAAGTAGGCGCGACGGAAACTTAAACGCTGGAAGTGAATGTATGTGCATCGTATATATATATATATATATATATATCTCGTATGAAAGAAACGAGTAGCATCGCGTCGTGAGATCAAGATCATTAAGTAAAGCAACGATTGCGTAACAAGTGCTAGTAAAAGTGTAAATATATGATCGGATGATTCGTAACTTTCAAATCATATCGTCTTTCTTCTTTCTACATAAATAAGTTTCCTCGTAATTTAAATATGATAATATTATTAAATATTTAATCATTCTAGTTCCGGCGAAAGTCGTTTTATTAATTTTTATAATTGCAATCTCACTTCCACGAAAGAAGTCAAGTCATCTTTCTCTGCAGTTCTGTATTTATTAGAAGTATTAGTAATATTACTGATCTTACGGCTATTACTGGGATATACCATCATAAATACTGAGATTTCTGAAGTATCATGTATCCCGATTATGTATAAAACCATTCTTAACATAGAGAAAGACAGAGAGAAAAATGATAATGCGATGAATCATATACGATTCGAAGAAATTTTTCGGTGTCATTGTCCCATATACTTGTATATATATGAAGCGATGAAACATTTCATTTAATTAAAATGTACATACATTATATATCACTCTGTTTTATTCTCACCTAGAAAGACATTGTAGAATTATAAAATATTCCAAAGTGTTTTTTGAAAATATTCGTTAAAAATATTCGTTGTTTAGATTTTGATTTTGGATTTTTTGATAGAATATTATATAAAATTTAACTTTTGTATATTATATATATTTTGCATATATTCTTTTAGTATTTTGTAATAATTCTTAATGTTTACGTAATTTTATTCTTAAAAAAAATCAAAGATTGACCCAGATCTTTACTTGACATTAGCGTGCAATATATCATATGTAACAGATACAAGCGTTTCTAATCGGAAAAATCGATGGGAAAAATCTGTAAAAACATTGATGATTATCCCTGGACGAATGAAGACTGGTTAATGATAAAAATCGGTTTTCAAGGGTATTCACCATTCACTTTGTTCTAGGAATCCCTTCACTATGATCATTGATAAGTTTCGAAATGTCCGATTTCTCTTATAAAAAACTCAATAATCTTGAAAACAATTTTAACTTTTAAAAAATTTATAGAAAAATTGCAACTTTTCATTACTTTTTTGGAAAAATAAAAATTTTAAATTTCTTCAATATTGAAAAATTGCAAATTTATCAAAGTCTTGTCTTTTGTATTACAAATCATTATATTTTTTAATAGAAAATTGCAAATTTATCTCAGTCTTATCTTTTTGTAGAGCTCTTATCTCTGTAACATTTCGATATATATAATTTGTATTGCGAGACTTCTAATAAAATCTCTGTTAATAGCACGTTGTTGAATGATAATTATATATCATCGCTGTTAAACGTTTTATTCACGCTTCGAGGAAAATTAACATGAGACTGGTCGGAATTATCTGTTTTCGCGTGCAAGCCACGCGTGTGGGGAATACCTCTGTCTTCTCATATGGAAAATATATGTAAAATACTATTCTCGCGAATTCGTTACAATGTCTTTCAAGTTTCCCCTATTTAGTAATATTAACTGGAATTCGTCGTTATCAGTAATTATACATACTTGTCATGCTTACAATGTGCTTAATTGTCTACTAGTGCAACATTAACTAGAATTCGTCATCAATCACGTTATCTTGTGATGTTTACAATTAATTATAGATGATAGATTGGGGGATTTCCATGCTATTCTTTTTAGGCCAGTGTTCTATTTGTTAGAAATATGTATTAAAAGAAAAGATTAGCTGCTGCAGCAAATTAGATGGTAAAATATGGCATAACATTTTTAATTGGTTGCAGTCAATTTTTGGTTGTGTTGTGTTATGTAGTTTATCGAAATCCTATACTAACATTGCGGATAGGCTAACGCAATCAAGGCTACTGCAACCAATTAAAAATGCTATGCCACATTCAGCCAATCTTTTCTTTCAGTGTAAGATTCACAAGTTCAAGCCATTGATACATGCGACAGGTACAAATGATACAGTTTCGAATATCGTCCAAATCGGCCAAGTTCTATTATGAGGTGAGGTCGAGGTCGGTACCGATCAGTTCTTGGGCAAAACTGTCGTTACGCCTACTAAGCGGAAGGTCGAGGTCGTTTCGAAATTCTCAAAGAGGACCGCCGTGCAGGACGATCAGGGAGGGTACAGAAGGGGATGATTACCGAAAATGGCCGTGTATTTGCCGCAATTACCGGAACAACGGTAACAAAACAAAGGCACTAACACAACACTCTACTCGGATTGGTGTCGGCAGGACCATCTGTTGGATAATAGTCCGCTTCTCCCGAATGATTCTCTATGAGCGGACGAGTGAGAAAAGAAAAATAACGTCCTATTCCATTCAGAACGAAGGATCGTTTTTTATCCTCTTCTTCTTCGCTCCTCCTTTTTTGTCTAACGATGCTTTATTAGTACGGTGACCATACGTCCCCTGTTTTTTTAGGGACATTTTCAAATTTGTCGTTCCAATTAACACTATCCTATACATATAATGCATTTAATCATTCTCTTATGTATCTTTGCAATCATTTTTACATTATAATAAGTAACAGATCAGATCAATAAATACACTGGAAAAGTCTTATCGTATTAATTGGACTTTTGAAAGAAAGGTATACAAATCAGACACTTATAATAAAATCTATCAAATTCTAATTGAAATAACCAGAAAATTCTGATCAACTTATTTTTGTTTACACTTTTTGTTGGTACGATTAGAACATTTTTTTCAGTGCGATATTCTAAATTTAAACTTTCTCGAGAAATACAATAATCGCATTTCTTAATTGCTAGATTTCGTAATCTGATGGAAAAATATTCATATTATGGTAAAATTAAACATGGATTGGATTACTTATTGTATAATATATCGATTAAACGACAAATAATTAAATGTAAATTAGCTACGTCATTTACATCTTTATTCTCTTATACATAGGAAAATCCACTCTTTCATCTATGCATAATAAGGAGCGTAAAATCCGATCTACAAAAATAAGAGCAGATCAGTTCGAACTTTCCATTGGATTTTCCATCGTTATTCGATTAATAATTTAACGATCGACGTCACGCTGCTCTATTTCGTTCGTCGTCATCATCGTTGATTTAACATTCATCGCAGCTGACCATTCACAACTGACCATTGTCGTCACGCTAATGTTCGCGTTGTCGCCGGTGATCAATTCTCAGAAGGCGACTTCTTGTTCTTCTTCGTGGAGGATCGCAGCCTCGTCGTCGTCGATCCCGTGGCCGAAGGAACATACGAGTCCTGACCAAAGGAACTCCGAGTTGTTTACTGCTGTCCTATATTTTTCTCTTTTTTTCTTCTGCCCTTCTCTCTCTCTCTCTCTCTCTCTCTCACTCCGCGGGTGTGAAACCACAGTGAGGTGGTTTTGGTGCTTAGTCCTCCGACCAGCCATCTACTTAACGAACCATCCATCGACCGCCGTCATTTCGCCGTTTCTCGGTTTCCCTCCCATCTAGCCGCCACCCCCGCTCTCTTCTACCATTTCGATCCTTCATCTCTTCGCTCCGCAATGCTACCGCTATCCGGCGATTCGATCGACCTCATCTTCTCGCTACCGACTTAAGATTGTTGAGAGATTTCTTCTCCGCGCTCCGAGAAAAGAGATCCGGTCTAGGAGATCGTGACTGCCTTCAACCTTGATATTAGCAAGCTGCATAGAAGTTGCACTGCAGTCATTTTATTATCAATTGATGTTGCAATTTAAAAAGCCAACTTTTTCTCGTCTCAAATTACTAAACTCTTACATAGAAAATAATGTTTTAATTAAATCAATAAAACGTATCAACGAGAATGACATTTTAGTGAGATCAAATAGAATTTCTGGTTATAATAACTCATTTCTGATTATGATAACCAGAAATTCTGTTTGATTTCACCAAAATGTCATTCTAGTTGATACATGTTTTGTTGATATTATTAAAACATTTTTTTAAGTGCACAAGTAAATTAAATTAAGTTAATTGAGATTATATTGTATATTTAATCGCATAATGCATCGATGATGATAATTCGGAATTGCTACATTCGTAAATTTATCATAAAAACATATTCCGTTTTTTTTTCCTTATTAGATAGATATCAACATTTTCCTGTCAAGTAACATTTTCCTGTCGAACTTTTCCTTAAAGCTATTCGAAGCGAGAAAGAAAAATGATGTGAGTTCGACGTGCTTTCAGCGAATACTAATTCGCCTTATCATGATAAAATTAGACAAGATGTTATGTTGCGTACGATGATACAATCAATTAAAAATCGGCTTTAGATCAGTCCTTAATACTTTTTAAAATACCGTTTTCAAGTTGTTCATTATGATATGTCAAATATAAGAACAAAAAATGGAAAAATATAATCAAATCATTAAATTTTATACTTATGTCAGCTACATTTAGATGTACCAAAATGTACGGACGCCATTATTTTGTTACTGTGCACATCTTCGGAAATACAAACATCTTGTCTAATTGTACCATTGCCTCATCCTTCATAGCGTGACATGAGCAGGATTCAGAATCTCGGACGAGAGA